CTTTCGGTTTTATTTGTTTTAACCCACACCAAAAGTTTAGATCAGTTTCCCAGTGTCAATTCAATTTGTTTCAAATTAACTTCCACTTCCATCACGGACCCATTATTTATTATAAAATAATAATTAATTATTATATATATATATATATATATATATATATATATATATATATAGATAGATAGATAGATAGATAGATAGATAGATAGATATAGATATATATAGATAGATAGATAGATAGAGAGAGAGAGAAATAATTAGAAGGATTTGAAATAATTATTATTAAGTAATTCATCGAGTCTAGCAGAAACCTCAACTAGACGGCCGTTTTGTCCTATATTTGGGACTCATCAGCAATGCGCATTCACTAACGAAAAATGAAACCCAAACAGAAGGCAAACGCCATACCAACTATACCAACGGTTCTTGGTGACGAAGAGGTAACGACATAGCGCCGCTCAGTCACTAATTCCGTGGTGGAATTCTCCGTTACTCTTTTACCCATAGGACTGTGCCCACACGAGCCACGACTACTATCCCCAAGGCGCTCCATCCAGAGCATTAGAAGCCGGTTCAAGCAAGGATAGACAGAGAGAAATAATTAGGAGGATTTGAAATAAATATAATTAAGTAATTCATTGAGTCGAGAAGAAACCATTAATAGAATTATTAATTAAATTATTCACACTTATTAGTCATATTTACATCTAAACTTTATTCTATAAATTATATAATTTGTATTATATCATCTATAATATATCTATATTATATCTTATATAATATCATATAAATATATATATATATATATATATATATATATATATATATATATATATATATATGTATCAGAATATAATAATAACATCTATATTATATCTTATATAAATTATTCACAATTATTAAATTGAGTTATTAAATATTATAAAATAGTAATTAATTTCTTTCAAATTCTCTTCAACTTCCATCCTGGACCCATTATTTATTATAAAATAATTTTATTTTATTATATATATATATATATATATATATATATATATATATATATATATAATTAAATTATTAATTGAAATTTTATTATTATTGTTATAGTCCGGTTCCTTGTACCACAGTGGTAGTCCAAGGTAGAACCAATAAAGAAGAACTCGAATACGGATATGGAATAACACAGATATATTACAAACAGGAATATATACAGAGAAGTAGAAAGGTTTAGTACGAGCAATCAGGTTTAGTAGGGAGAACAATGTAGTCTCGACCAGTATCACTATTGCCTCTGACTCGACTCTTGACTCGACTTGAACTACTGACTCGATTCTCTTGCCTACTCCTGATGCGCAGTATTTATTAAGTATGGAATAGTCCATTCTTATTATTATGGGTAAGATCCCATAACAATTATTCATCTTTGCATTTTAAACAGAAAATAACCAAAAGCACCCTGTTGGTTTCTTTGTTATTTCATTTCTTCATATTTCTCTCCAACAGCTACACAAAGCATTCTTCATCAGGATATTCATCTACCCTCCGATTCGCATCGATTATATTGGGCGTCGGATTTACTATCATTCCCCTGAGACACTGCCACTCAGAGATGCCTGTCGCATCGGTCAATTTCTCCCTTCCATTCGTCGACCTTTACACTGCGAAGATCGACTGCGCGTGCCTTTGTAGTTGCACCTGTATGTTGATCTTTGATTCTGTATAAGACTGGTCCTGTTCTTTCTATAGACTGTATAATATAGCTTCCACCATTTTTTTTCTACTTTATGCATTCTCCAGCCGTTCTTAATGTACTCCTATTTCAAATCTAATATCTTTACTCCTCTTATGTTTGTGTTGCTTTTTTATTACATTTAGATACGTTCATTCATTATAAAGAAAACTCTATGCTGTTCCTGAAAAGATATTTGCTGATGTTCTTCATACTAAGGTTGCCTTAGTTGTAAAATATTATCTACATGTAATAATATATTCCTATTATATATTAATTTAACAGGCGCGAATGTTGTCTCTGCTAGCATCTGATTCAAATGAACAACTCTAGATCGCTCATTATCGGCAACTCTTTTAACTAACGATGAAGTCTCTCCGCACTATTTTTCTTTGAGGATGCTAAAACGAAATAGCAACATGATTGGTCCTTAGATTTCCCAGTGTTTCTTTCATAATGCGATTTAATAATAAACCCTGTAACTTAGCAGCTCAGACCAGACGCCAGTTTCGTTCCCAGAATGCAGTTTTTTCCAGTCGAAAGCTTATGGCGTGATACAAAGGAAACAATTCTTCAGTCGGATCGTTACCCCCCCCCAAAAAAAAAGTTGAGACAAAATTGTAGCAGTAGGCAAATTTTATTCAGTTGCCACCTCCTCGTAAGGGCCGGCTGTCGGCAAGCGAGGGAAACTGAAGCGATTGCCTTCCTTACGCGTGGCGAGCAAGCGGTCCTCTTGTTTAGGCAACTAGAGACCACTGTCTTACAGAGAACAGGCTGTCTTTCTTCTGTCAATTTTTATACTGTTGTGGATTCCGTGGATGGAATCCTCCACAAATAAATAAACAACGCCAGTTATTGTAATAGAAAAATATGTGTATTAAACGTAATTATGCAAACTTGAAATGAAGATTAGTAGTCCAGGAATGCGGGTTAGTAGAAAAGTATATGTACAAGTCTTTGTAAGTAAAGCCGTAATTATCTCTCTTTCTGGACTCTCGTATAACTATGGTTGAACACCCTGTCTCGACGTTTTTGTCACGCTATCTTTCCGTAGTATAAGTATACTTTGGACGAGTCCATCTTGTGCACAAGGGAGGCCTCACAATATATGCAAAGAAAAGAGTTAGAGAAGATGAACAAGGTCTGAGAGAATAGGAGAAAATGAGATCTTACTTTTTGACTTTAGACAAGATTAACAAATTTAAATGGCTGCTTTTTATGTAATAACAAGTAGAGAATGAAAGAAAACTCTTAATATTTTAATTTGCATTTCAGTAGCAAAAACAGCTGTTACACATCTTTGTATACATTCCAAAAATCTAAAACCCAACTTTATGCATAATAAATGGTTAACATTTAAACGAACCAAAAAATTGATTATAATTTTGTGTCATATGCATCCATGTATTAGAGAATCTTTTTTTTACTAGGCAAATTTAAATTTGGAACATTTTTACACTGATGGATACCTAAATGTAATAGACTTTTCAAAACATTCTATCGTTTTTTAATCATTTCACCTAAATCAAGATCCCAGGGTACCCTCCTCTTAGGTGACTCTCTTTGTCCGGATCGGTTGACTTGTTTTTGGGAGGTCCGCATCTTTGTCAAGAGGATAACTGTCAAAACGATTTCTGTAACAGATGTGTCCTTAAGATATCGGCTGGCAAACTGATATCGCTACAAGCCTCTCCATCGACAGGTTAATCAGTTGGAAGTCGTGGCAAACGACGTCCTTCCAGAAACTGCGTGGTCGTCGCCAGTTTGTATATGGCGGGTCGAAATTGTAGATGATTCTGGTAGGGTTGTGATCAGGTCGCCGTAAGACGTTAGCAAACCAGTGAACGATGGCTTGCGTACGATGTTCTGCTAGCCGTTTCCTCCGGCGGAAATCCTCATTGGACATATTATCGGACCGGTGTACCATCAAGATAGCCTTGAGGGCGCGCAATCCGAAGCCGTGGACGCAAGAGATGGGGGTCTTGCTGTGAGATCTCGTCTTAGTGCTTGATAGTAGCACTGAAATGATCATGGCGTTGTAGTAATCCACGAATATATCATCAATCAATATAACAATATTTCGAATCGAGGTGCATATAGTTTTGGTAATCTACTGTTTTTATTTTTAATCATTGTTTGTAAATTCTTTACTTATTTTTAATTTTATCTTTATCTTTATTATTATTATTTTAACGAAAGAATACTTTCTTATGTTTTAATCAAAAATATCTAAAATGGCCGCTTTTTTTCAATATCTTGTACACAAACCATGCAATGCCGTAAATAATAAAAACATTTACAACTCAAACGATCAGAGACAACACAGCCCAACCCAACTTTGAAATTTTTCATCTTTTTTACTGTACGAAAATTTTGAATTGTGAAATTTTAAAATTGCAATGACGCTATAAAGTAAAAGAAAAATATTGTATTTCGTAAGACGCGTTACAATAAGAGTTGATTCAGTTTAAAGAAAATTAAACTCCACCTTATTAGATCTCAGACTCTCATATTTAATAAATGTTACTGTATTTAATTAAAAAGAACTAAATATTAATTGCAAAAAGACAGAATGAATGGCTGTCAGCAAAATGAACAGCCCTAGACTCAAATAACAATTTAGATATTCCAAAATCAAACTCATACAACAATTTAAATATCGGAGAAGTGATTTAACAGAGGATGGAAAGGGTGACACTGATATCCGAAGGCGAATTGGGATATCAAAGCTAAGCAAAGTATTAAGAAACAGAAAATTTTTTTAGAAACAATGAAAGAATGCTGAATTGTTACGTAATATCAGTCCCTCTATATGTCTGTAAATGCTGAACAATCTCCTCACGGATGAAAAAGCAACTTGAAGCAACAGAATTGTCGTTCTACAGAAAGATACTGAGAATTCCGTGGACCAACAATGGAGCAACGACAAAGATTCGGAAAAAAAATAGTTACAAAAATGATACATAACATCATGAAGATAAAGTTGAAATCTCTATGGGAAATAATGAAGAAAGAGAACTTGGAAAATTTGATACCCACAAGACAGATTGATAGCAAGATGTAGAGAAGAAAACAACGAATAACTTATCTGGCTATTTTGAGTAAAGAATTAGCGGAACAAGATCTGGAGTGATAATAAAAAGATATGGAGGGACATGATCGACAACGACCTGAACAAAGTCGGTTTTACTAGATACGTATAGTTAAAATCAGAAAGAGGTGTGATTCCTGGGTTTTTCAATTATAAATTCCGGACCGTTTACCATTACATGAGCCGCACATACCAACCTATAGCACTGGTATTTCCAAGAGGTAACCCATCAAGGTACTAACCCACCTCGACGTTGCTTAACTTCTGGGAGCGTATAAGAACTGGTGCTAAAAAGTGATATGGATGTAAGGCTGGACAAAGAGGGATGGTGATGAATCAAACATTGCCGAGAGAAAGAAGATGTGGAGAGCCACGATTGCCCACTTCCTGGGGTGGGGGTATGGCACAGAAAAGCAGAAATCGGTTTAGTGGTTAAAAAAATGTCTTTCCTCGTCGTTATAAGTGAGTAATTAAATGTTTGAAATAATTCACATCTGGCCAACTATCTTCATTTCTGTGACTGGTTTATTTTTTAGAAATATTAATTTGTGCAATCCAAAGCTGACCGGTTATTCTGAAAAGATTTTTCCGGATACATTTGTTCAGTTAAAGGCAATTGTCTTTTAGCCGACGTGAAATAGTTACGTATTTGCCTCTTTGAAGACAAACGTCATTCTTGAAAAATCAGACAAATGGTGGAATGTTTTATTTTCTAACCTTTGGACAAAGGACAGTAAGTGCGACACTGAGATCTGTAGACGTATTGGCCAAGGATGCATTCAAAAACAGGGCAGAGTACTGCGAGACAGGAGGATTTCTTTGGTAACAAAGGAAAGAGTACTGAGCTGTTACGTGACATTGTCCTTCTTTAAGACAGCGAATGTTGGACGATGATGAAGAGATTCGAGGCGACTGAGATGTGGTTCTACAGAAGGATGCTAAGGATAACACGGACCGAGCGCGTGAGCAACGATGCGGTTTTAGAGAGATCGCAAACAAGAAGGCTTATACTTAACATCAGAAAGAGGCAGCTGAAGTTTCTTGGACACATAATGAGGAAGGAGGGTCTGGAGAATCTGATACTCACAGGTCGAATAGAAGGAAAGAGAGACAAGGGAAAACAACGCGTGACATACCTAGCGGGGTTAAGCAAGCGGATGATAGAACATGGTCTGGGGGAGGAAGCAGACGGAAGGAACTTGTTGAGAGCTGCCAGGGATATAAGGAGGTAGAGAGTCGTGACCCTGAAAGGACATGGCGCATAAAAAGCAAATGGAATGCCCTCCACAATTAGAGGATAAGCCTAACATAATCTTTTTCAAATCGTATCTTCACCGTTTGACTTGGTGCTAAACAAAACTATAAGTAGATAATCGCTTACTCGCAAATGGCTTACGGACAGTCATTTTGCCAAAACCCATGGTAACAGGTCACTGTTAAGAAATGACAAAAAATGGTTTCTTACGTTTGAAAAAAAAATAGGCAATACAATTTTCACTGATTTATTTCCACTGATGGACAGAAATCGATATTGATCCTTTGGCTGCCTGTCTGGAGCTTTTCGTAGAATGTAGTTTATTTTTTTATTTCGTTACTTTGTTGGATGGACAAATCATTGAAATGGAAGATGCGTGAAAGAACGAGATCAAAGCGAGATCAAGCGAGATCAAGCGAGATCACCTTCATGATAATAATGAACAGAGCAAATGATAAAGACGTCCTGAGAGACAGAAGAACACAGATTTTAATTATTCTATGTAATCAGTATACGATAACTTAACATATTTTAAAATCAATTAAAGTTTTATCGAATATTTATAAGCTGGAGTAATCATTTTACACTAGTATTTTTATACATCACCTCCCCCATATATATATATATATATATATATATATATATATATATATATATATATATATATATATATAAATATGTGGTGCAGTTCAATTTATATTACATATAATACATATATATATATATATATATATATATATATATAAAATATGTGGTGCAGTTCAATTTATATTACATGTATGATTCCTACAAAAAACAGATTAGTGAAGTTAATGATATAAATGACGAGAATACATCTTCATAAACAAATTTATTAAAAAATTACATTAACCCACGAACCTCTAGAATGAATGTTATGATTCCTGTTTTAATAAATTCAACTTGTATAAGGTCTTTTTTTTTTTTTTGCAGTACTTTCATCTGTTCATAGAGACATCATCAGGCATGGAAATTGATTTGTTTTTGTTTTTTTTTTAATAAATCCTGGTAATAACCGGACACTTACAGTTAACAATACATTTCTTAAAAAAAACATATTTCGAGTCACAACTATCTTTCGTGTCCCCGTTATAAAATGTTCAGGATTCCTACAGTTACATAATTTTTTCTTTAGTATTGTTTATTCTTATTTCTGGATCAGTATTTCTTAGAATTTTATATTATGTTATTTTATAATTTTTCTAAATTTTCAGGACAACTGTAAACTTAATTTTAAGGCATTTTTATTAAAAGATTTTTACTAGGTGTATTATTTCTAGGAAAATTTTTTATCACTTAAAACCTTTTGGGCTGTCAGATGAATACATATTTTTAAAAATAATTATAATATGCTCTACTGTGTAACGAGCTATGTTTTTAAAATAAATGTAAAAGAACTATGGATTATAAATATGACTGTTCTTTTTTTTCTTTCTTTCTTTATATATATATATATATATATATATATATATATATATATATATATATATATATATATACTCGACTCTCCTGTCGAATTCGACGTATGAGGGTCAAACAGATCAGTTCCTAGAAATCGTCGACATCCCGACACCAGCACATGAGATTTGATTATCGTGGTGAAGGTTTCGTGCAGAACTATCCACACTTTTTTTGAAGGGCCGAATACAGAGACCTGGTGCACTAAGTGCCACAAGGTCCCCAAACGACCCCTCCGCAGGTTTTGAATTCAGAGTTGTCCTTCTCCTAGACCAGATGCCATCCAAGGCTATAGAACCCAGTCTGTCCTGCTATTTACCCATAGGCTGGAGGGAAGAAGAAGAGATTCACACCTTTCCCAAGGGTATGTTGAAATTGAAGTTTAATATGTTGAATAGATACCGTATTTTTTTATCAGCAACCACTTTTGTTTGTATCGATATATACTTATTTAAATTTGAAGATTCATGTTGAATGATGACAAAATTTATCTGTGCAACTCTATGCAAACGATTTATGTCAAATTTCCTAAATTAATAGCAAAGTTAGATTTTAGAATCTGTAAAATCAGTCGGCTGATTTACCATACAAAAAAATGTTTCTTCTTTATGTACCGTGTCCTTTTAGGACGTAAGCAATAGCGGCCCTCCATATCTTTCTGTCTCTTAATAAGTTTTCTGTTTTTTTTATTTCTCCCAAACCCTGTTCTAACATCCATTTACCCAAGTTCATCAAATATGTTATACATTGCTTTCCTCTGTCCCTCTTTCTCTCAATCTGTCCTGTAAGTATCAAATTTTACCCAGCCCTCTTTCCTCATCACGTGCCCCAGAAATTTCAATTGCCTCCTTTTTGTTTCCATGTTCTCCTAAAACCTCGTTGTTTAATAATATGTTCTGTCCCTGGTATGCCCAGCATCTTACTGTAGAACCACATTTTGTGGCTTCATGTCTCTTCTTCATCTTTTGAAGGATTGTCCAGCATTCGTTGTTGGACTGGAGGACTGATATTACGTAACAGTTCAATATTCTTTTCTTTTTTCTAACGACATTTTTCTGTCTCTAAATAATAACTTGAAAAAAGTAAAGCGGCTTTTCTTTTTCCTTTTCACGAATTTTGACAGGTACTATTGAACAATGAGGAAATAATCTGGAGATGGTGGACGATTCTGATGTAAGCCTAAGGGTCAACTGAGGACTTTATCTCACCAGTCTTGATTTATAAAATAATAACAGTCTTTGTCAAGATCAGAAATACTAAGGCGTTGTGGAAGCGTATAAGTATCGAAAGGTACAAATTATCGGGTCTAAAATCAATCAAGAAAACACATGAGACAAATAACTACGCTTCAGTTAAAAAAAAATCATCTATGAAGAACATTGAATTAAATGTGAAATAGAATATATGACGATAGATGTTACAAAATATCGTATTACAATTGATGGTCAAGCGGACAAAGACTGGTTGCCTCGTGATAGAACAGGCATCGTGACGTCAAGAACGCGTAGGCGTTGGGATGTTTTCTGGTAAGATTATTGGTAGGGAAGTAATGGCTCTTCTGCTTCTTCATTGTGTCGTGTCCAATCAGGACGTGGACGACCATGACTATCAACAAGCTCCGTGTAGCGTTTAGCATCGTTTGTTCATTTCCCAAAGCTTATCATTCCACCCATTCAAACAGACTCATCAAGTAGGTGAACCTCTGTCTTCCTCTCTTTTCTTTCAAAATCTTATGATCAATTTTCCAAGCCCTCCCGCCTCATTGTGTCCAAGAAAATGTTATGGTAAAGTGCGTTTGCATTTTGAAGGCACATGTAGAGTCATTTTCAAGAAGATACTGTCAGATTTTTATATGCAACAATGCTCCGTCGTATTTGACGAAGAATATTAATGAGGGTTAGAATAAAAACCCAGTATCAAAGATATTTGTTTGAGCAGTCGATCGCTTTGTTCGACTGAACACAATTGAAAACTTGTGGAATATATGGAAAAGTAAATTTTTATCTGTAGACGAGTATTTACCAGCAAAAAGAATTTTGGAATACTTTTGTGGATAAAGAAATAAATCTGTCGCCAAAATTAATTAGTCTGGGAACATGATACATACATTTCATATTAATATTGTATTTATAACTCTGTTTTCATAACAGCGAAATGTTTAGTTGTTTGCTAAAAGGTTTGTGGCATATTCTATACTGATAATTTTTTATGAAAATATCTCTTGCATTTTCAGTATTAAAATACGAAACTTGCAAAAACACATATTGCCACACATCGTGGACTATAATTTCTATATAATGGGTGAAATGCTCTCTATATTTCTTATGCAAAGATTTTTCTAAAAACCTTCAATAGTTTTGAAAATTAAGATTATTTAAATTGGCTAATAGGAGATATTGTTTAGAAATTAAATTAAAATCGTTGCAATTGAAAATTATCATTAAGAATGCTATAAATGTAAATGAAAAACCAATTTATTAAATGCATAAAGTTGATTTCACTATAGTATCTCTCTATACTACTGAGATGAAATATTATGTACACTATTTGGACTATTGTCCTCATCTTTGTCGC